CTCTCTCTCGCTCTCTCTCTCGCTCTCTCTCTCTCTCTCGCTCTCTCTCTCGCTCTCTCTCTCGCTCTCTCTCCCTCTCGCTCTCTCTCTCTCTCTCTCTCTCTCTCTCTCTCTCTCTCTCTCTCTCTCTCTCTCTCTCTCTCTCTCTCTCTCTCTCTCTCTCTCTCTCTCACTCTCTCTCGCTCTCTCTCTCTCTCTCTCTCTCTCGCTCTCTCTCTCTCTCTCTCTCTCTCTCTCTCTCTCTCTCTCTCTCTCTCTCTCTCTCTCTCTCTCTCTCTCTCTCTCTCTCTCTCTCTCTCTCTCTCTCTCTCTCTCGCTCTCTCTCTCTCTCTCTCTCTCGCTCTCTCGCTCTCTCGCTCTCTCTCTCTCTCTCTCTCTCTCTCTCTCTCTCTCTCTCTCTCTCTCTCTCTCTCTCTCTCTCTCTCTCTCTCTCTCGCTCTCTCGCTCTCTCGCTCTCTCGCTCTCTCGCTCTCTCTCTCTCGCTCTCTCGCTCTCTCTCGCTCTCTCGCTCTCTCGCTCTCTCTCTCTCTCTCTCTCTCTCTCTCTCTCTCTCTCTCTCTCTCTCTCTCTCTCTCTCTCTCGCTCTCTCGCTCTCTCGCTCTCTCGCTCTCTCGCGCTCTCTCGCTCTCTCGCTCTCTCGCTCTCTCGCTCTCTCGCTCTCTCTCTCTCTCTCTCTCTCTCTCTCTCTCTCTCTCTCTCTCTCTCTCTCTCTCTCTCTCTCTCTCTCTCTCTCTCTCTCTCTCTCTCTCTCTCTCTCTCTCTCTCTCTCTCAGTGATACTTCCCACCTTCCGTAGTCTCTCAACTCACCTAGTTGGGTGTGTAGGGGGGGGGGGAATTGAGCTTCGGCTCTTTGGTCCCGCCTCTCAACTGTCAATCAACTGGTGTACAGGTTCCTGAGGCTACTGGACTCTATCATATCTACATTTGAAACTGTGTATGGAGTCAGCCTCCACCACATCACCTCTTAATGTATTCCACCTGCTAGATATTCTGACACTGAAAAAGTTCTTTCTAACGTCCCTGTGGCTCATTTGGGTACTAATTTTCCACCTGTGTCCCCTTGTTGGCGTACCTCTCGTGCTAAACAGTTTATCTTTATCTACCCCTGTCAATTCCTCTGAGAATTTTGTAGGTAGTGATCATGTCTGCTCTGACTCCTCTGTCTTCGAGTGTTGTGAGGTTCGGTTCCAGTAATCTTTCCTCGTAGCTCATACCTCTCAGCTCGGGGGCTATCCTGGTAGCATACCTCTGAGCCTCTTATAACTTCGTTTTGTGTTTGACTAGATGTGGACTCCAGGCTGGAGCCGCATATGCCAGTATTGGTCTGACATATGTGGTATACAAGGTTCTGAATGATTCCTTACACAAGTTTCTGAAGGCAGTTCTTATGTTCGCCAGCCTTGCATACGTCGCTGATGTTATCCTTTTGATGTGGGCTTTAGGGGACAGGTCTGGTGTGCTATCAACCCCCAGATCTTTCTCTCGTCCTGACTCCTGAAGTATTTTCTCTCCCAACTGGTACATTGTGTTTGGCCTCCTGCTCCCTACACCTAGCTTCATCTCTTTACACTTGCTCGAGTTAAACTCTAGTAACCATTTGTTGGACCATTCCTCAGTTTATCCAGGTTATCTTGTACCCTCTTGTTGTCCTCTGTCGTAATTCTTCACATAATTCATCATCAGCAAACACAGAGGAATGAGACTATACCTTCTGGAAGATCATTTACGTATATCAGAAACAAGAGAAGTCCGAGTAGAGAGCCCTGTGGGACTCGTCTGGTGACATCACGCCATTCTGAGGTCTCACCCCTCACATTAACTCTCCGCTTCCTGTTGTTTATGTATTCCCTTATCCACTGGAGCACCTTACCAGCTACTCAGCATGTTTCTCCAACTTATGTAACACTCTCTTATGAGGGACTTTATCAAAACCTTTCTGACAGTCCATGAAAATGCAGTCTGCCCACCCTTCTCTTTTTTGCTTAATGCTTGTTGCTTGGTCATAGACTTCTATTAAATCTGTGAGGCCCAATTTGCCATCCCTGAGCACATGCTGGTGGTGCGTTACAAAGTCCCATCTCTCCAGATGTGCTACAAGCATTTTCCTAACGATCTTCGTCACCTTGCATGGTATGCAAGTTAAGGACACAGACATATAGTTTAGGGCCTGCCTATCACCCTTGGTGATAATTACAGTCATTACTTAACCTATACCGTTGATAGGTTAAGTAATAATTGTAAATATGAAGCAATAAGATGCTTATCTTAACATACTAAGAAGGTTAGGTGAGGTCGGTGTTTTCTATGAAGCTTTTCAAGGTAAACTAAAATATTCACAATCATTTACTATGTCACATATGCACTTATTAAATAAGCCAATATTGACTATAAGAAAGTGCGAGAACGGGTTGCACCCTTTTTGTAGACTGGGACTGTAAGCTGTCTTCCCACTTTCTGGTAGGTCTCCTATTTCCAGTGACTTGTTATACACCATAGAAAGTGACATGCTAAGTGGTTGTGCACCTTCCTTTAGCATCCACGGTGAGATTCTATCAAGTCTAACAGCCTTAGTCACTTCTAGATCAAGCACATACCTCCTAACCTCATCTCTGGTAATTTCAAAATCTTCCAAGACTGCTTGGTTCATCGCCACCCATCTTGTAGTTTAGGGATTTCTCCTTGCTCTATCGTGAAGACCTCCGGGAATCTCTTGTTGAATTCTTCACACATTTCGTTGTCATTTTCTGTGTATCTATCCTGTCCCCTTCTCAGTTTCATCACCTGGTCTTTCACTGTTATTTTCCTCCTGGTGTGGCTGTGGCACTGCGTACCATTAAGACTGACCGTGAAGACTGCACCATTAAGACTGCACTATTAAGTCTGACCGTGAAGACTGCACCATTAAGACTGACCGTGAAGACTGCACCATTAAGACTGCACCATTAAGACTGCACCATTAAGACTGTACCATTAAGACTGACCGTGAAGGATAATGCAGTATTGATCTTCTTCCCGGGTGAGGTAGTGTGTGTGCTGACCTAGTGGTGCCACAACCACCGACCCCCAGCGCCCACCACCCAGGAGTTTCAGTTCAACGTTTGACCCTGTGGATGGAGTTGGCTTCTGCTATCTCCTTTATTATTAATAATAATGGACAGATAAATCCCATTAAGGTGATTTATCACCTTAAACCCCCTTCGGGTAACTTTAACCACTCACATGTAACACAAACAAGGAGCAACAGCTTCAAGCTCATCAAGCCACAGTGAAGAACAGAAAACAGGAGATGCTTTTTCACCCACAGGGTTATAAACCCATGGAACCACCTACCCGCCGAAGCTGTTAATGTCAAAACACAGGTTAATTTCATGATGTAGTTCGATAAAATCATGGAACCGCCTACCCGCCGAAGCCGTAAATGTCAAAACTCAGGTTAATTTCATAATCTAGTTCGATAAAATCATTAAAAAAAAATTAGTTTTTCCTTGTGATTTTGAGGTCCTATCTTCGTCGAGGCTACTAGAGAGATATTGGTCCTCAGGTAAATTAAGGTAAATACTGTACAATGTAATTGGACTCTACCTATACCACAACCTTGCCTCCCCCCCACAACCTTGCCCCCCCCCCCCCACCCACCTGTGTGAGCCTACAGGTAGCGAGTGACCGCGTGGAGACAGTGGTCTCTAGGGTGAGACGAGACTGTCCCGCGCTACAGTATTTAGAGAGAACGTGTGTATAACTGGTGGCCCTGCCCCTGCCCCTGGCCCTGGCCCCAATGGGGTGCCCCCTCACCAGTACGCCCCCCCACCCCCTCTCCCTAAACAACAAGGGCGTCAACCACTTCACTTCCTGATAATCAAGTATGAATCTTTAGTAAGTAATCTTCAGAATGCTCTTTATAAACCTGTAACAAAAAGGAGACCTGGTTGAGGACCGGGCCGCGGGGACGCTAAGCCCCGAAATCATCTCAAAATAACCTCAAGATACTCTTTCATCAGTCAAGAAATGGATCCAACATCTTATCAGACTGAAAGATAATTAAAAATGAATTAAATGGCTTATCTATTTATTTTTTATTATTTTCTACCACAGACGTGGCCACACATTTACAATGCTAACCAGCATATATACATTTTCTTCTGTCCTCGTAATGATACAAAGCTAATGATTAATTAATATATTTCTTTGACTTTACCATAATCAATACTAATTGAGAATCAGTCACAACATATCACTTAGGAAGACTGTTAGACGAGTACGCAGCACCGGCATGGAATCCACAACTTATGAATCTTAAAACCAGAATTGTCAAAGAACAAATGTCTGCAAGACGATTGGTGCCAGGGCTGAGAGAGTTAAACTACGAGACCTTCATGCAGGTCGGCGTTCAATCCCCGATCATCCAGATGGTTGGGACACCATTCCTTCCCCTCCGTCCCATCCCAAAATCCTTATCCTGGCCCCTTCCCAGTGGTATATAGTCGTAATGGCTTGGTTCTTTATCCCTTCACAACCGTTGAGGACAAAAGGAACAGAGAGAGAATATGATCACCACATACAAGATACTCAGAGGAATAGATAAGATCAACAGCAACATTCTCCTTTAAATTGAGAGAACACAAGGACAATAGGACATAAATACAAGCCGAAAAGGTCAATAACTCGAACAAACTTTGTATGAAATACTTATTGACCCCCTCTACAGGGTACCAGAGGAGGCATGCACTGGAAGAAGAAGAAGTTGTAGAAGCCACCTCCATCCACAACCGTAAAGCCAGATTCGACATAGAATTCAAGCATTAAGTATAAAGCTTGACCTTGCTACCCCATCGACACTGACAGGTAACTACTGTTAGGTAAGTCCTGTTAGATAAGTAGTGTTAGGTAAGTACTGTTAGGTAACTACTGTTAGGTAAGTAGTGGCAGGTAAATAAACAAGAACAATCATACACATTTCCTGTAATCCAAAATAATACCGGGGAGGAACAAGTAGTAATACCTGGTTCATGTCGTGACGTCACATTCTCCTCTCTGAGTGACGTCACGGTCTCCACTTGCATGTGACGTCACACAGTCTTCACCTGGAAATGACGTCACGGTCTCCACTTGCAAGTGACGTCACAGTCTCTACTTGCAAGTGACGTCACAGTCTTCACCTGCACATGACATGACATGACAGTCTCCGCTTGGCATCCCCCTCATACCTGAAAACAAGTTAATTATTTGTTAGTGCTTGAATTATATGATTTATCGTGTGACATCAGAGCCAGGGACGGGGCTACTGAATACAACACCTGTAACACCAGGAGAATACAACACCTTCAACACCTGGGACACACAACACCTGGGGGACACAAAGTGAAGGTAAGAAAGTGAAGACCTGGGGCCAGATTCACGAAAGCACTTACGCAAGCCCTTACGAACCTGTACATCTTTTCTCAATCTTTGGCGGCTTTGTTTACAATTATTAAACAGTTAATGAGCTCCGAAGCACCAGGAGGCTGTTTATAACAATAACAACAGTTGATTGGCAAGTTTTCATGCTTGTAAACTGTTTAATAGATGTAACCAAAGCCGTCAAAGATTGAGGAAAGATGTACACGTTCGTAAGTGCTTGCGTAAGTGCTTTGTGAATCTGGCCCCAGCAGTGTTTTCAAGCAGCATGGCAGCGCGCGTGGAGGAGCGTGCGCGAGCAGGTGTCCACCAGTGAACTTGACTGCGGCCATGACTGTCGGCCGGCAAGGCTGCACCTCCTCCCACTCCCTCCAAAACTTGGCTGGAATTAAATCATTTTCCTCGTCCACGGTATCCGGGAAGTGTGATTTGATTCAGGTTCACGCAGCTTCTTTATTGAGGAGGCAAAGACCTTGGGGCCAGATTCACGAAAGCACTTACGCAAGCACTTACGAACGTGTACATCTTTCCTCAATCTTTGGCGGCTTTGTTTACATTTATTAAACAGTTTACAAGCATGAAAACTTGCCAATCACCTGTTGTTATTGTTATAAACAGCCTCCTGGTGCTTCGGAGCTCATTAACTGTTTAATAATTGGAAACTAAGCTGCCAAAGATTGAGAAAATATGTACAGGTTCGTAAGTGCTTTCGTGAATCTGGCCCCTTGACCTGTTCCCGCCTTGGCTTGCTGAGTAGTCGTCGATATCTGCATTTTTGGCTCACTTAAACTCGCTGGGAAAAGGGTTCCTCGAGCACTTAATGGCCACTTGCGAAACCTGGTTATCTTTCCTCAATCATACCTTGTGGTTAGTTTGCGATGATTTCGGGGCTCAACGTCCCAGCGGCCCGGTCGTCGATCAAGCCTCCTGGTTGCTGGATTGGTCAACCAGGTAGTTGGACGCGGCTGCTCGCAGCCTGATGTATAAGTCACAGTCTGGTTGATCAGGTATCCTTTGGAAGTGTTTATCCAGTTCGCTCTTGAACACTGTGAGGGGTCGGCCAGTTATGTCCCTTATGTGTAGTGGAAGTGTGTTGAACAGTCTCGGGCCTCTGATGTTGATGCAACAGCGTACCTGTTGCACCTCTGATCTTCAACGGGGGTATTGTGCACATCCTGCCATGCCTCCTGGTCTCATGTCGTGGCGTCATGGTTAACACATAAATGCTTGATAAACTCTGGCCGTCTTGGATTCGACGCCCTCGTGGTTTTCTGTGGTGTGTAGACCAGTTAGCAGACCGATGTATGTTTATGGGTGCTTGGTGTCCTTGATGAGAGCATTATCCCGCCATGTGTGTGTGTGTGTGTGTGTGTGTGTGTGTGTGTGTGTGTGTGTGTGTGTGTGTGTGTGTGTGTGTGTGTGTGTGTGTGTGTGTGTGTGTGTGTGTGTGTGTGTGTACCAGCCGGAGCCACGCCAACTCTTGATTTCTTAACGTGTACCTTCAGTTTTACCTGTGTCCGTCTCCTAGTCTGTCATGGTGAGACTTCTCTGGTGACAGTTTGTGTGGTTAAGTCTGCGACAGGCAGACGTGTCCCTCACAGCCCCGATGATCTCCATGTTGCTCTCATTGCTTACTCCACATCTACGTGGGTTAATGTGCATATGGAGCTCCTGTGAGAAGAGCCTCCGTGTCTATAGTAAGCGGGCAGTGTGGTGGTGAGTGGTGGGGAGAGAGAGGAGAGTGTGGGTGGTGAAGAGAGTAATCCAGGAGTGTGACCTTGCTGAGGGCGCGGGCCCGGGGCGCGTCCACCAGCCAGGACCCGCCATGAACACACCTTTCACCTTCCTCCGTCTATACCTCAACCCTCACACCGTCCTTAACCCTATACTATGTCAAATACGTAAGCCAATATGTTCAAATGTAAATAAAGCCAGGCGCTGTGACCAAACACCCTGGTGACAAAAAATTAGCCTTCTGCAAGAGTCAATGTTAGTCTGTGAGTGCAGCTAAAAAAAATAGTAATTACATCCGGTGGTGTTGATGGTGTGAGGGGAGGCCAAGCCTGTCATCACCACTACGACCCTCCCACGTGTGGCTCTGACCTTCGCTTCTCTCTGCCACGTTCAACACCTTTATTGTTAACTAAAGATAAGTGTACAGAAGGCCACTTGAAATAAAGGATAAAGCCCCCACGGCGCGGAGCGTAACAATAAGAAATAACAAACATGGTTAGGGACTAAGCATTATGGAAGATGAAGAGCAAAGTTTGGGGGATGTGGTTGTGTTGCACACACACACACACACACACACACACACACACACACACACACACACACACACACACACACACACACACACACACACACACACACACGGACGGCATTCCACACCTGCCCTCAGGAGTACACCCAACACTGCCACATACGCCCAAACCCTCTTGTAGTGACCAACATCAACACTAATAAACTAATCAAGAGACAAGACACTAACAATGTTGCTCGTACCTCTGAGGTGCAGCAAACCAGAACAAGGTGGAGTCCACCTGGTACGGGGGTGGGTGGGGTGGCGGCGACACCCACGCTACACCCTACACCTCAGGGATGGTACTCGCCGCCCATGGGGTGCTGTTGAGGTAAGGAGGAGACTATGGAGGTGGCGCTGGCACCCCGGGAACAAAGACGCCGCCATCTTCCTCCCTCTCTCATTTCACTCCTGCCTTCACGCGCCCACTCATTGACACACACACACACACACACACACACACACACACACACACACACACACACACACACACAACCAAGAAACTGAGCATCAAATGATGCATCAAATGAAGAAATCCACAAGGGCCGTGACGAGGCAGCGTCTGGGATCCTCTCGGACGTAGGTTCGAATCCTCGTCACGGCTCTTGTGGATTTGTTCACTAATAAAACACACTAGCACATACATACACACAACTCCCGTATCACATTCCTCGTAGTGTCTGCACTATAGCACCTCGGAGATCAACATTTTTTTTTTTTTTGAGATATATACAAGAGTTGTTACATTCTTGTACAGCCACTAGTACGCGTAGCGTTTCGGGCAAGTCCCTGGAATACGATCCCCTGCCGCCAAGAATCGTTTTATCATCCAAGTACACATTTTACTGTTGCGTTAAACAGAGGCTACAGTTAAGGAATTGCGCCGAGTAAATCCTCCCCGGCCAGGATACGAACCCATGACATAGCGCTCGCGGAACGCCAGGCGAGTGTCTTACCACTACACCACGGAGACTGTAAATCACCAACCTCACGTTATCTTTCAGGTGCAAATTGGACCAATCCTTTTTAGAAAGGCATATACATGCTATATATAATTATCTCCTAATGAAAACAATGTGGAATTAAGTATATTGTATATTTTTGCAATGTCTGGTAGGCGGGCAGTCTCATTTGACGGTTCAGATGCATGTCCTCATTACTGCTCTCCAAGTCCTCTGCTCTGCTGATGTTTCCATCTAGATTGATTAATTGATGAAGATTCAGCTACACAAGCGGTGCCACGGGCATGATACCTGGTTGATACCTGGTTGATCGTGTTCTGGGAGTTCTTCTACTCCCCAAGCCCGGCCCGAGGCCAGGCTTGACTTGTGAGAGTTTGGTCCACCAGGCTGTTGCTTGCAGCGGCCCGCAGGCCCACATACCCACCACAGCCCGGTTGGTCCGGCACTCCTTGGAGGAATATATCTAGTTTCCTCTTGAAAATGTCCATGAAAAAGCCCGCAAGTTTCCATCCAGAATCTAAGTGATCTTTATATCCAAGACGATATGGATATAGTCTTTATATCCAAGACGGGGTGTAGCTATCATAAACACTCTCTTAACCACTACCTTTTCACCTATAATGGCTGAGAGTGTAGACTTAAACGGGTTTTGTACCTCACTTGTTCTTCTATCCTGTTGTTCCCACATACCTTGTCCTGATGCTGTTGCCTGGTGGTACCGTTCACTTGTAGAAGGGTCTTGTGAGTGTACATCTACACTACATGTCTCCAGTGTCATCTGCGACGCTCTCAGCCGCCGACACATCTGCTCCCTCATATCCTCAAGAGTCCAGAGTGAGGGTAATCCACAGGCGCCACATCACTCTCTTTTGATAGTTATCATGTTCGTAGCTCTCTTGATTCAGCGAGTGTCAAGCTGTTTTCTCACGGTTTTTTCAAAGGTTTTGCGGTGTGACTTAAAGCAGTGTTCCTCTTGTGTTCCTATCTTAATGCCATAACAATAGCAGTGATCTCTGCCTGTTATAAGACACCTGTTAACCCATGCCATTTCTCCATTAATGTTTTGAATGCCATTATCCCTAATTCTAATAAAAGGAGGAGGTGGAGGAGAGGGAAATAAGAGAGAGAGAAGAATAACATAGAATCATACTACGGAACCTTGCCACACTGACCTGCCCCTAGACGAGGCTAGCGTGCCTCTGGTGGCTACCCCTGCTATATATAATGGAGTATGTGACCGTCCCGGAAGGCACGGGAGACATCTCCAGTCACACAGGGTGCAGTCGCACCTCCACAGATCTCCAGTATCAGCTCTTGATACTGGTAATGGCTCAAAAGGGCCACCACTTACGGGCTATTCACGCCCGTGCCACCTTTTGGGTGGCTTAATCTTCATCTTCTTCGTCGCGGAAGGTGAGGGGGGGAGGCGGCGGACATTGAGGGTAAGCCGGGCGAGCACTATAGAGTAAACACGGGTGTTTGTTGCCTCAAGTGAGAGGTGGCTGAGGGTGCAGGATGCTGGAGAGTGTCTGTGAGAGATTATCAG